ATATATAGATTTGTTTTTCAGTAATATACTGCCTGGCCAAAAAAAAGAAAAAAAAGAGTTGCCACTTGGATTTAACTAAGCAAATAGGTACGAGCCTCCTATTGGATAATGACTGCATGGGCAATTATCTTTCAGCTAGCAACAAGTTCTTTAACCTCAACTGGTGCAATGAGTTGCCTCTAATTTCTTAAACAGCGGTGTAGCCTTAAGAAAACCACTAATCACTGAGGCTAACCAGAAAAAAAGGCTTAAATTTGTTAGGGAGCATAAAGATTGGACTCTGGAGCAATGGAAGAAGGTCATGTGGTCTCATGAGTCCAGATTTACCCTGTTCCAGAGTGATGGGTGCATCAGGGTAAGAAGAGAGGCAGGTGAAGTGATGCACCCATCATGCCTAGTGCCTACTGTACAAGCCTGTGGAGGCAGTACTATGATCTGGGGTTGCTGCAGTTGGTCAGGTCTAGGTTCAGCAACAGTATGTGCTCAAAGAATGAGGTCAGCTGACTACCTGAATATACCGAAATGACCAGGTTATTCCATCGATGTGTGAACGAGTGGTTCTGGGAGCAAGAGACATCATTTTCACACATGGATTGGCCACCACAGAGTCCAGACCCCACTGAGAATCTTTGGGATGTGTTGGAGAAAACTTTGCGCAGTGGTCAGAATCTGCCACCAATGCAAGATCTTGGTGAAAAACTAATGCAACACTGGATGGAAAGAGATCTTGTGACGTTGCAGAAGCTTATCGAAACAATGCCACAGTGAATGCATGCCGTAATCAAAGCTAATGGCGGTCCAACAAAATATTAGTGTGACCTTTTTTTATGGCCAGACAGTGAATATGGTTTGATATTGTTGACAGCTCAAAACAGTAATACAATTTTGTTGGCCTTAGATTCATAACCTTAAGGGGCCTTGCTCTGTTCTATTCAAGATATTGCTATTGGTCATTAACCTTGTCTGTTCATTGAAGTAATACAACATACTCATCCTGATTCATGCTCAATAATCCATGTAGAAATATCCAACAAAGTTAAGTCGGGTCCTCTGGACAGATTCTTCTTGTTGAATTTTCAACAAAAATAAACCGTCCTGAGGACCTGACTTAACTTTGTTGGACAGAAAACTCATGTTTTGCTGAAGTTCAGCAACTGGCGTTTGCAACAAAAGCAGCCATGTAATCCGACATGATTGTTTTGTGTCTGTCACGCTTGGGGTTGTAGGTTAGGCTACATTGTTTCAAAAGGTTGCATTTTTGCAAAATGCAAGGATGGAATTGCAAGATGTGTTTACTCTGACACTCATTTTCTAAGGAATGTGGTCTTGGGCATCCTTTTCATGCAGATGCGACTAACATGAAAAACAAATCTTTATGCATTTACAAAATGTTCCTGTACGGACGGAGCCTAAATCTAACCAACAAGTATATGATTTATTAGTGGAATGACAAACTTGAAATGAAAATGAAGTGCAAGTAGAACTCATCCTCTGGTGTAAATTTGTTTCTGGATCCATGTTTGAACATCCACTCCACTTTCTTCTCCTTTCATTTCCACCTTCATTTTTAGTGCGTCAGAGGTATAAAAGAAGCTCTGCCAGCATATTTTGTGTTCACGTTGCTTCTCTCTGTCTTGTGGAGCCAACACATTTCATTTTATTAAATGCTTGAAGTCAGGCGACTGTACTAAAACACAAATATGACAACGTCCACGGTCCATGTGCTGATCTGATGCTAATATTTGACCAACTGGTTCATTTGTTTTTATTAATGACCATCTGATGCCTCGTATGTCGCATTTAACTCAACAAGATGCCAGAAACTCTCAGCATGTACAAACTGTTCCTGTTAATAAGAGCTGCGTTCAGCTCATGTGTCGCGTTCTTTGTCCCAGTTCATGTATTAAACAAGTAGTTTATCTGCGTGTACCTGCAGTTTGAGCTCACAGCTGTTTGTTGTATCATCACTGAAAGCACAAACTGAAGTGCTGACTGCCAGACTTCTTTTATAGCTGACAAACGCTGCGCAGACCGCAGTACGACCTCGCCGTGTGGCAGATTTTTGTTATTTCACAGAGAATCTCTGTTAACACGATTTCTTCTGTTGTTATTCGCATCTAGCAGAATATCTGAATGTTTCAGCATATGGGTAAAATGTTCAAATGGCACACGTTTATTATAGATAGAAGGATAGACATACGAATACTTTGCACAACTTTTTACACAACCTTATTTCTGATGTAATGTGCTCATATGGTTTATTAAAGCAGTGGTTTCTTTACAAATGTTAGGCATCAAATCTGTTTCACAAAGGCCAGGACGTATGCTAATAAAACTGAATTTATACAGTATTTAACTATTTTCTTCATGTATAGATCATGTGCCATTTGTAGTTTGTGTGATAAATAATTATCGCTCAACACCAAAGGGGATAAGGTTTTTGACCGTCTCTGTGTGTATATTTGTCATGCTAGCAAAATATCTTATGAACCCCTTGAGGGATTTTATTAAACCAGAGTCAACTTAATTCAATATGACCACCATGGCCAACTGATCTTACACAACAGACTTGGCAATAATAATAATACAATTCAGTTATATTATGAATGTGAATATGAATAATAATTCAGTTTTTTTATATAGCACCAAATCACAACAAAGTTTTCTCAGGGCACTTTACAGGAACATTCACATACATAGAAAAGTCAATTAGTAAAGTTCTCTATCTAAGGAAGCCAGCAGACTTTTATTTATCCCATGCTGTTTAATAACTTTACCTAATGGAAGCATATATAAAGTAAAAAGTATTGGTCCAAGCACTGAGCCCTGAGGAACTCCATGACTAATTTTGGTGTATGAAGAAGATTCATTATTTATACTTACAAACTGGAATCTACCAACTAAATGATATTTAAACCATTTTAGAACTGTTACTGTAATTCCAATATCATATTTAAGTCTCTGTAGTAAAAAAAAAAAAAGTAGTAATTGTAATCAACTGTATCAAATTAAATAATACGGAGCTCAGATTTAGGTGTGGTGGAAGTGGAAGAAAGACAGGCTGCAGGTCTCTTTTCAAATACTAAAAGAGAGATGGCGTCATTATCAGAAAGCAGTAAAAGCTGCTAAATCTAAATACTTTTCCGATATCATTGCCTCAAACTCTCACACCCCACGAGTTCTCTTCTCTACCTTAAACTCAGTTCTCCACCTCACTGAACCATCATCTCTGGAAGCATCTATTGAGCTGTGCAAGAACGTCCTATATTTCTTTTTAGAAAAAAAAATTGCGACCACCCGAGCTCTCATTTCCCCTCCAGCTCATGATCTGTCCATTCCACCTCAAACTGTAGCTCTATTCGACCATTTTGAGCCTATCTCTGGAGCAGGTAATGTGCAGCATGAAATCATCTGGTTCCCCCTTTGATGTGGTCCTCCCTCAGCTACTAAAGGTTTTTCCTACTCTGGGTCCTTCTATTCTTGCTATTGTGAAAATCAGTTTGTCCACTGGTGTGGTGCCAAAAACCTTTAAACATGCTGCTATTCAACCTCTTCTGAAGAAACCTACCCTTGACCCCTCAGTCGTATCCAACTTCAGGCCTGTTTCCAGACTCCCATTTGTTTCTAAACTACTGGAAAAAATTGTTGAGACGCAGTTGAAGTGCTCCCTAGAGGATCACGACATCTTAAGAGTTATTCCAATCTGGCTTTAAACTTTTCCACAGCACTGAAACTGCCCTACTGAAGGTTTTTAATGACATCTTCCTATCCACACATACTGGTGATTCTGTGCTGCTTGTCCTATTGGACCTTACATCTGCATTTGACACCATCAACCATGAGATCCTCATTGCTAGGTTGGAGCAGTGGGTGGGCATCACAGAGTCATCACGAGGATAAACCACAAGATTTATCCATCTGCATGCGTGTCGTACGAGCAGATGAGGGTTCTCCAGGACCCTGTTGCTTTGTTGAAAAAAAAAATTGTAATTTACGTCGAAAGTCCAGTTGGTCAGATCCAAAACAGTAGTTTTCATTTTGGAGAGATGTGTAAAAATAGGAGCTGCTCCGATATACAGACAGAGAGGGGAAAAAAAGCAGGAGGAGACATCCATCCATCCATACATCCATCCATACATGCATACATACATACACACATAATTACATCCATACATGCATCCATCCATCCATCCATCCATCCATCCATCCATCCATCCATCCAT